GAGAGAGAGAGAGAGAGAGAGAGAGAGAGAGAGAGAGAGAGAGAGAGAGAGAGACTGGGGATAGGTCCTAGATCTTGCATATGCTAGGCAAGCTCTACCCTGAGTTACATACCAAACCTCTTTTAAAAATTGTATTTTGAGACAGGGTCCCCTAAGTTGTCCAGGGGACCTCAAACTGAGGACTTAGTCTCCTGACTTGCTGGAATTACAGGCAAGTGACACCATGCCCAGCTATTAATCTTATTTGAGTGAAATTATTGAGCTCATGAGTAAATACRGGTAATATTTAGTTTATTTTTCTGATAATATCTGGGCATATAAGAGTAATAACTGTAACTTTATGGGTAATATCTGGAGAAGGGTTACTTAAACAAGYATGGGCAATATGTAATTGTGTGTGGATAACAATAAAATGAAAGTGAGTAGAGTTTGGTGGATGGGTAACGTCTAAGTGACTGTGGGAAACAGTGAATGTGGGTAACATCCTTCTGTGGGTAGCACCTGAGTGGACATAAGTGATACGCAAGTCTGCAAGTTTATATAAGAATAAAGTGGGTGCCAGGTATGGTGGTGCATCTCTATAATCCCAGTGGCTCAGGAGGCTGAAGCAGGAGGATCACAAGTTCAAATCCAACCTCAGCAACTCAGTTAGTGAGGCCATGGGCAACTTAGGGAGACCATGTCTCTAAATAAAACATGAAAAAGGGCCAGAGATGTTATTCAGTGGTCAAGCGCCCTGAGTTCAATCCCTGATACCAAAAAAAAAAAGAGAAAAAAACAGAACAAAATTTGCAAATTTCTATTGGTAACATAGGAGTGAGCCTGGATAACATCTGAATCTGTGTGGGTAATATCTGAATGAGTCTATGTGTGTAATATCTAACTACCTGGGTAACATTTCAATGTGTGTGAGCAACAATATCTGTTTAAGTGAGGTCTATTATTGCCTCTGTGCTCTGAATCACTTTATATCTTGATTTTTCAGGGATCCTTGCTCTATAGACTATCTTGTTTCTTATCAGAACCTTCAATCTTCTTTCTTGGCCCTCTTCCATCAAAAAATCTTAAATATCCTATAAGTGACATACACCTGTAGTCCTAGCAATGTGAGAGGCTAGTTAGGTGGACAGATCATTTGAGACCAGCCTGGGCAACAGAGAWAAATCCTGCCTCAAATATAAATTATTTTAAATGCCCTTATTTCTACCACTACTAATACTACTACTATACATACACACAGGCATATACCAAAACAAACCAAACAACCAACAAATAATTCTTCCTTAACCCAGTCCTATTTCTGGTACTACCCTATTATTTCTCTTTCTCCCCCTCCCGTGAAGTTCTTGGAAGCTTTTGTTCATTTTTCCCAACCCCATTCCCACTGGCCCAATCTTAAACTTAACGTAGTCAGACCTTAAWACCTACAAATCTTCCTAAGGATTTCTTGTTACTGAATCCAAAGGATGCTCTTCTGTTTTGTTCTCATATGACTAGTATTAGCTGCACTGGGCCTCACTTATCACACCCTGCTTAAAACTGTCTTTTTTTTTTTTTTTTTGCTTCTAGAAGGACATAGCTCCTCTCTCTGACAGTTCTGTCTGAATCTCCTTCATGGACTTTCATTTTTCTGATATTTATTTATTTATTACTAAGGATTGAACCCAGGGGTGCCTGACTACTGAGCTACATCTCCAGCCCATTTTTACTTTGAGGTGGGGTTTTGCTAGTTGCTGGGGTTGGCTTCAAACACATCATCCTCCTGCTTCAGCCTCCTGAGTAGCTGGGATTATAGGATTATACTTGTGCAAGACCAGTCCAGCTGTCTGGCTTTAAAATATTGATCTTCTGCTGGTAAGTTCCAGAGCCCTGGATTCAACAGTTGATTTGGTAAGCCCACTTGGATGTACCACCAGCATTTCAATTTAGAGGGTTTCAAATTGAGTTTATAATTACCTATTCCAAACCTGCTCCTTTGATATATATCTTTCTCATTACATAGTACCAACATTGACTCAACAATCCAAGCCAGAAAACTGGATGTCATCCCTTGACTCCTTCTACCTTCTCCACTTCTACTCAGTTGATTCCATTCCAGAAGGAGGTCTCAAATCCATCTACTACTCTCTATGACCACCGTCAAGACCTCAGTCTAATCTAGCATCATCTTTCACACAGACATGTGTAATATAATATCTTTCGAGAGTATTCCTTTGCTTTTTACCTCATCCTCCAGTCCATTCTTTACACTACGCAACTAATCCTGGCACTGCTGATGAATCTTTAAGTAGCTCCCAATGTCCTCAGGATAAAAATCCACACTTTTTAGCCAGGCCCCTAAGGCTGTCTGTAATTTCTCTAGGCTGGTCCCCAGCCTGAGTGTTTATTATTTATCTTTAATGATACACGATCCAGCCACTCAGAAACTATATGACATTGAACAGAAGTGCCACGGTTTTAAACTTTGGGCTTTTTACACATCCTACCCCGCTACTTGAGATGCTTTTTGCATCTTCTGCCTCTTCTTAGCTGGCTTGCTCTCATCTTTTTCATTTTCATTTTTACATAGCACCTCCTCAGGAAGCCAACCTCAATCCCATGGTTAGGCTAGGCCAGAGTGGCTCCTCCTGTGTGTCCCCATTGTATTCCTTGTCTCTTCCACTTGAGGTTGCCATTCTCTATTTACTTATCTCTCTTCACCACAAAATTCTGAGCTCCATGAAGTAGGAATTATGCCAGTTTTGTTCAACTCATATCCCTGCTGCCTAGCACAATCTCTGGTTCAATAAATATTTGCTGAATGAAAGAATCTAAGTGACAGTGTGTAACCAGTGGGAAAAAAAGGCATGAATTATTTTGTGTGATAAATAATACTTGGGTTACAATTTATTTCCCTTCTTGATTTTAGAAAAACTTTATTCTGCWTTATCATTGCTCCCTTTTTTTTTTTTAAGAATTCCATTCATTTTCTTTTTCCTGAACTCTAATTTCAAGACGCCAGCTCCCAGGGATCATCCTCTGTGAAGTTCTCAAACCTATCTCCTTTGGGTCCCCCAGTCCAGCCCTTTTGTTCCTTACTGACTGTGATTTTTCCATTGGTCTTTCTCTGCACTTGACTATGGACTGATGAATGTGTACACTGGGTCTAGTTCATCCCTGTGTCCACAGCACCTAACCTAGGGACTAGGATAGAAGGTGTTCAGAGAACAGTCAGGACAGGAAGGGTTCAGAAAGGGAAGGAAATGTATTTTAAGATGTTCATCAAGACAATGAGATGCTAGCTGACAGGAGGAGTAAAAGTCACTCTGAGGACTGGATGTTTGGAAGCAGTTTAAAGATGGGTGAATGGCAAGAGGTGATAGTAACACAAAGGGAGGGGGTGATGAAAGGGGCAGCCTGTCTAGCAGGGTGAGACTTAAAGAAGGACAGAGTGGAGAGAGGATTTGGAAGTGGCTGGGAGACATTATGAGAGGAGAGAGGAAGGGAGAGGGCAAGCAAGCACAGAGCTGGGAAGCACAAAGCCTTTGAGAACTCCAACTTGGGAGGCAGAGGGGTTTGAGGATGAGCAAAATAATGCAGTCAGGCAGCTCTAAGGCRCATCCCCCAGTGTCCAGTCTAATTCAGATTTGAAAATCTTATTTGGGAAGGCTGGTGTTGGGGTGGGATACACAGCAGATTACAACTAACTTCCCATTCAGACCTCCCACCGTGCTCCCTCCCTCAACCAGCTCCTTCTTTTTACCTTCCTTTCTTCCTTCCCTTTCCTATTGTGGTTCTGTGAGCTGGATGTAAAAGGGGGACAGAAAAAGATCTAGAAGGGCTGGCAAGGGGAGGTTCTTGTCTCTTAACTATGTGTGCTGTGTGGTGCTGTTGTTTGGGGGTTACCAAGAGCTCTGGTATGACCAGGGGCGGGAATGTGAAGGGTTCTGACCAGGTGATGTGAAGCTGTGATGTGGTTTTAAGAGCTGTAGGGACCAAATGTGTGAGGGGGAGCTCTTTGGGGGCTGAGCTAGTTCTATGAGGGGGCCGCTGCGGGGGGTTGTCGCTGCAGTGTAGAAGTCGCGGGGGAGGCTCTATTAGTATTACGGGGTGCAGTGAAAAGGAGCATGTGGTGGGGGCTTAGGGAGGCACCCACCTCTTGTCCCGGCTCCGCGGATGCGAGGGGGCTCGCAGCTGAGGTTGCCCGAACTGCTGCTGTTGAGGAGGGGGCCACCTGGGCGGCACAGTGAAGCCCCCGGCCCGGGTCCGGGTCCCTGCACGCTCCGGTTTAGCTTAAGCAGCTCCATGGCCCCAGCTGAGCCCGCTACTTCACTCTGCTCCGCCAGGCGGGTTCCCGCCAAGGCTCCACCTGCTCATGCCGAGATTCTGGCCCAGACTCCCGCCTACCCCACCCCCTGCCCCGCCTGGTCTCCGCCCTCAGCCCTGGCCCCTGGCCCAGGAGTTCCTGGGCTCGCCCCGCCTAGGCTCTGGTGCCTCCCAGGCTCCGGTCTGCCTCTCCCACCAGGTGACTCTCCGCCTTCCTCCCTCGCTGGCTCGGGAGTTACGCGTCCTCCAGCGTGACTGTCCTCCAGGCTCGCCCCCTCCCTAGATCTCTGGTCTTCTCTTAGAGATGTCTTTCCTGCCCACCTCCCTTTACCAACGCCCCCATGAATTCTGGGGAATTCGTGTGTGATGCGTGTGTGTGTGTGTGTGTGTGTGTGTGTGTGTGTGTGTGTTGGCGCGCGCTAGTATTGGCGGGGCGGAGGGAGACTGCGGGAGAGGGAGGGCGAGAGGGGGCAGTGTGCAGTTTTTGCCGAGCTAGCATCTTTCTCTGGTGGGTCAGGGGACATGGAGGTGGCGATGGAAAGGTGGGTTTGCCTTCAGGGGTCACCCACTGCAGCGCAGGTGCCTTAGCTTGCTTGGCACGGCGGTTATGGTACTGTGCCGCAGTGGCTGCAGTGACCGTCACACTACACTACGGTAGTTTCTTAGTTCCTTGCAGCTCCCAACTGTGAGTTGGGGCTGGGGTAGCTTCTGCAAGTGCTTTATGGAACCACCCCATCTCTATCTGATATCAAACACCAGGCTTTTTTACTCAAGGGTTCCAAGGAACCCTCAGAAACTGGGAGGGATGGGGGAGGGCGTTGTTTCTCCACCGGGAAGTCCTGGCAGGGGAAAGGGCTGCCCAAAGAAAGAGTCTTACTAGGGTGTGGAGGTCGGCGGTAGATGGAGGTAAAAAAATGCCTAGGATATATAGGATTGGGTAGTGTTTTAACCACCCACCCTGGACCCAGGCAAAAGAGAGGAGGCCTGGCTGTCTCTTTGGTCTCCAGGCAGCGTCCACCCCCAACCGACACGCTGACGCTCCCTGTTTGCTCTCAGCGCAGGTGGAGCCGCCTGTGTAGAGTGTCAGGTTCCCACGAGCGGGGGGCCACTGGATGTAGAGCAGGAAGCTGAAGGGTGCCCCTGTAAGACTGAAGTGGGTTCAGCTTCATTGGGCACGATTTGCCTCCTCTACTGTGTGAGTCCCGTTCCCTATCCATTGTTTTTCATTTCATTCCAAAAAATTTCAGTATGACTGGAAATTCTATTTTCTGCCTCCTAGAATTGGTTGCAAAAGATGGGGGCTTCATTAGACGAGCAGGTTAGAGTGGGGATGGGGTCTGGGTTTATGGTAAATTTAGAGTATTTATCTAATTAATCTTTTGGAGAGGACTTGGTCCTGTCCTTGTTTATAGGGACTGAGGAATTGGAGGAGGGCTTAAAACTGGGGTGTGTGTGTGGGGGGGGTCATCACCTACCCCCACTTCCCTTTCTCCTGGCACTGCCTGCCTTGCTCTTCTGAGAGCTCTGGACCAGAAGAGCTTGATTTGCTATTTGTTCAACTCCAGCACAGGTGGAGCCACAGATAACCTGCTGAACTTTTCCCACATTGGATGAGGACAAAGGAAATGTAGGGAGAGAGGAATGGAAACAGAATTAGATTGCTTTCACTTATTCAACAAACCTTGTGCCAGATATAGGACCACTGTGCATTGTCTTGCATATATTCTGTCTCTGAGTAGCTCCCACTCTAATTGAGATTTTTCCAAGTAAACCAGTGATTGCAATACATGTCATAAATGCATCCATCAAGACACATAAATCAGAAATTTAGGAATTATTCTAAATGCCTTCTTCCTTTATGCTCCTTCACCCTTATAATGAAGGCTGTGTGCAAAACCTAGACTCCTTTCCAAAAATGATGGATTTATTCTCCAGCTGCTGAGAGTGCTTCTGGAAGATGGCCCTCAACTGTCAACCTCCTATTAGGAGTTGTCTGAACAGAAGAAAGCCAGCTCATCCAAGGTCATGTACCCTTTCTGAGGCTTCCTGTTTTCATTGACTGCTCAGTGCAGGGATAGAAGGGTTCAGTCCTCCTACTCCAATAAAGGACAACTCTGAAATGTGTTCACAGCCCCAGAGCTCCTCATGGGGTTGACTGAGGCCTTTATTGGGACTAAATTATTGCTCAGCTTCTCCCTTTGCCCAATCCTATTTTAATTCTCTCTCTTGCACTCCAAGAGCACTCCTTAGTAAACTTCCTTTACAGGAATCTCTGTTTTAGAGTTTGCTTCCTGGGGAGCATAACTACATCACTCCTGTATTAAATCAATTGTGAAGTGCTGCTGATTTTAGCTACTGAGTGTTCTTTGATTCTGCCTGCTTATACATCCATAGACATTACCTTGCACCACTCTCCTAGTTTCCTAAGTGGGCCACTGCATTTTTCTGGTGCCTTCTTGCATCCACCTTCTACCTTATAGCTATAGTGCTGTGTTCAGAATGCCAATTAATTATGCCGCTCTCTGACCTTTCCTTTTGGGACAGATAAAACCCTTTAACAGGATCTGTGAAACCCTCATGGCCTGACTCCTGCTTACTTCTCTATCTTACTTCTTTCAAGGCACTGTATTTTTTTTTCTTTCCTCTGTAGACACACTGGTGTTCATTTAGACACACCCCCCCCCACAACACACACACTTTTATTGTTATCCATCCCCCAGTTACATGCCTTTTGCAATGCTCTCTGGAAACTTCTTTCTTCCTTCTTTCCTCATCCATGGGATCTCAGTTTTCAAGCAGCAATTCCTCAGGAAAATGTTTTCCATGGCTTCCTCTCCTGGGACAAATAGAATCACGGGATGACCTGCAAAATGATTACCCTTGTAGAATCTTCTCTTGAACATGTGTGGACCTTTGAATATAATGAGGTACTACTTCCATGATTATGCTATGTGCCAAAGGGATTTTTCAGATGTAATTCATTTTACTAATCAGTTCACCTCAAGTTAGGAAAATTGTCCAACTAGTCCAAACCACATCACACTAAGTCCTCTTGAAGGACTTTCTCTCTGGCTGCTCACAGCAGCAAAAATCAGAGAGATTTGTAGAACAAGGATTCATCACACTATCAATGGCTTGAAGATAGAAGAGCTCACTTGGAGGAATGCAGGAGGAAGTTGCTAACTGGAGGATGGGAAGGATGTGGGGTAAGTGCCTGAGAGTGGCTTCTCATTGACAGTAGCCCCAAGCCGACAGCCAGCAAAGGAACAGACACTTCAGTCCTCCTCCAAATCTCTAGAAGAAAATTTAGTCTAGATAATACCTTGTGATATGCTGAACAGAGAACCCAGCTACACTGTAGACTTCTGGCCAACAAGTATGTGAACTAATGAGTAGGTATTGTTTAAACCATGAAATTCATGGTAACTTGCTACAGCAGCAATAGAAAAAGGATATACCTTCCATCTCAGGAAGCAGCAAGTGTAGACCCTTATAAACCAAGCAAGAAAGAAATGAAACATTGGGAATTTGTTGAGATTTAGAAAGAAAGATTTGGAAAGATTGCAGTGGCAGTTAGTGTGGAAGGCAACCTAAGGAGTGAGACTAATAGGATTCTATGATAGTAATTCTGGTGAGAAATGATGGTGGTTTGAACTAAAGTCATTGAGGCTATACAGAAGTCTGAAGATGACTTTTTAAATTTATTTTTGGTACTGGGGATTACTGAATCCAGGGGCACTTTGCCACTTTACCCAGTCCATTTTGAGACAGGGTCTCAGTACATTGCTGAGGCTGGCCTCATACTTGTAATCCTCCTGCTTCAGTCTCCCAAGTAGCTGGGATAGCAGGCACGTGCTACTACATTCAGCCTTGAAGAAGACCATTTAACAAAGCTTGGATAAAGACCAGCCTGCTGGATAGGGAAAGACTATCCAGACCAGGCTGGGTAGAGAGCGACCATGACAGAGAAGGTAGGAAGAAAACAAAAGAACGAAGCATCATAAAGCTAAAGAAGAAGTGATCTAGGAAGAAAGTGCTGATCTTGTTCAAATACTTCTCTTGGATTAAAACAAACAAACAAGGATTGAGAAGTGTACTATGAATTTAGTGACTTGGAGATCCTTGGCAACCTTGAAAAGAGCCATTTTGGTGAGGTCACTGAGGCAGAAGATAGGAGGGTATACTAAAAACCTGAATGAAAGGAGGAGGTGGGATGAGTAACATTAGGCAAGTATGATTATTTTTTTTAATTTTTTTAACTTGTAGATGAACACACAGTATCTTTATTTATTTTTAGGTGATGCTGAGGATCAAACCCAGTGCCTCACACATGTGAGGCAAGTACTTTACCATTGAGCTACAGCTCCAGCCCCGCAAGTATGATTATTAAGAAATTGAAAGGGGGCAGAACTAGATATGGATATGAAAGRAAAGATTTTTAAGGTGAGAGAACTATAACTTGTTCTCAGATAGAATTACTCCAATATATACAAAAGTCTGAAGATTGATAGATATGTAGAGAATGGCAACACAGAGAATGGCTAATTTTTAAAAATATTTAATTGATTTTATTTTTAAATACATGACAGCAGAATGCATTACAATTCTTATTATACATACACAGCACATTTTTTCATATCTCTGATTGTATATAAAGTATGTTCACACCAAGTCAGGTCTTCATACATGTACTTTGGATAATGATGTCTATCACTTCCACCATCATTGCTAACCCCGCTCCCTCCCTTCCCCTCCCACCCCTCTTCCCTATCTAGAGTTTGTCTATTCCGCCCATACTCCCCCTCCTTACCCCAATATGGCTCAGTCACCTTATATCAGAGAAAATATTCGGCATTTGTTTTTTGGGGATTGGCTAACCCCACTTAGCATTATTTTCTCCAACACCATCCATTGACCTGCAAATGCCATGATTTTATTCTCCTTTATTGCTGAAATATTCCATTGTGTATATATGCCACATTTTTTAAATCCATTCATCTACTGAGGGTCATATAGGTTGGTTCCACAGTTTAGCTATTGTGA